CGCTGTAGGGGCAGCTGAAGGATAACGGTTGGCCAACCACACCAGCGTCAATGCAGCCAAAGTCACTGCGCCACCATGACATCAGCGTCACCGCATCAACCAACAAAAGTGACTGTGCGACTTGGCTACGGAAAGCAAGAGTTTTGGTGCTAGTATGACTGTACACCATACGCCTCTCACTTGGCTCATGCGTTGCTATTTGTAAGGCGTAAATTTAATTTGTGAATTGCGCGCTCGACATTATGCGTCACACACATTCGCTACTTGCTTCAATCATACTTACAAACCTATACATACAATAAATACATACACGTGAGTGTACGAAATTAATTTTTATCAACATTTTTCGATGCTTGCTGCCTTCGTGAGAGTCTGCTCTGTATACTACTTGTATATAAAATTCATTGGGGCGGGTCGCTCATCATCAATCATAAGGCTGACGTTTGCGACTCACACGAGGTTAACAATGAAAAGTAGCAGACAGGTTTAAGCGCAATTTGCTTTTGGACTTTTATTTAGCTTTTACAGCTATTAAAATATCTGTGTGTGTAGCATACACCGTCAAAATAAATAACGAAAACTCTTGCTGTAGCTATGGTGAGTGCAACACAGCTTTCGCGGGAATATGATGAGCGTGAAGCAGTGTAAAAATCAATGCTATTAGAGTACAACACTGTAGATAAACGCACATATGCATAAGCGGTTTGCTAAGCACAGGGTGGTTCAACAAAAATACTATGCATTTCATGGAGATATAGCTGCCACACAAGCTGTCAAAGTAAGCATGTATTTTTGACATTTATCTGCTGAATATTTTCTCAATTAATCTGTTACATAAAAGCTTATTCCGCAAAGTTGTTTAATAATCATTAGAATTTACTTGCAATACTTACGTTTTATATGCAGAACTTACAAACAATATTTTTACTGTCTAAACTTCTTCAGCGATGGGACATTTTTCTCACATTACAGCTAAATAAAAAATCAAAAGTGTCAAAGTTAAAGTCTGAACAATGCTCAAAGCGCTTTCTAGGCTCTCTTAGATAGAGAAACGCCATTTAATGCAGACTTTTTTGAAATTGAAAATGATGATAGCATAGTATCATTAAATGCGGCTCATACAAAGCAAGTTACTAAATATCCATCTTCTAAGTACAAAATAACGACAAAAGGATTATGCGGCAAGCCATACAGCGCGTGAAGTCAACAGTCTCAAAGCGATCTTGAGATTTTTTACTGTTAGACTAAATTTCGTCGAGATACGTCAGGTCAATGGTTTATGCTATGAGACCAGCTATAATAAACTGCTCAGAAACCAACATTCGGCACGTTATTGGCGAGGTGAGGTCGGTTGTGCAGCAAAAGTGGTAAAAACTGTAACAAAAGTCTTTAAATTACGCAAACATGTCTGAAACTCGGTACAAACGCTTAATGCCATAAAATTGTGACACTACTAAAGTGAGAGTATTGGAGTTATCAGAAATATTTCTGCTTTTAGTATTAATTAATGATAGTATTTCCTAAAAAAACACAAATACTCTGCATGATATTGATGCATATAAAAGTTTTAATGTCCTAGACAACTTGAGTTATAATAGCAAAACTTAGTGGCAACAGTCCATATATGTATATTATCTTCATATAATATAATATATTTAGCGTATGCAAAAAGGATGACCACCAGCATTTCTCATGCATTTTATTTTATAGCAGTGGTGCTCTATCAGTACCGCGGCTAGCATCCACAGCCACATTTATGGTGTTGAGTTAGAAGCACAGTTTTTCAAAAAACAAAATTTAACGGGTTCAGTTTGACTCACACGAAAACTGCGCTAACACAAGCACCTAATTAAATCAATTTCTTTTCTTTCACAAAATTCCGTGTTTTTACAGGTTGGTTAATAAGTTTCTGCTCTCACCAAGTAATAGCACTAAAAGCTCCAACTTTTTTTTGTATCAAGTTGGCACATCTGTCATGAGGCACATGCAAAGTTACATTCGGTTAATTCTTTGTTTACAAGCCATTTGAAGTGGACGTGTCAGAGTATTTTTTTTTAATATGGACAAAATTTAATATCGTGCAGTGATTAGATTCCTTGTTTGAAAGGTTTAAAAGCAAAAGAAATTTATGAACAATTGTTAGAAGTGTATAAGAAGTCCTCAGCTTCAAAACGCACCGTTGAATTTTGAGCTGGTGAATTTAAACGTGGTCATACTAGGCTTGAAGAGGATGCACTCGAAGGACGACTCTCAAAGGTGTTTTAACAATGACAAAATTCAACGAATCAAAGTACGAATTGCTTGAGCATCCACCGTATTCACCAGCTTTGGCTCGCAACGACTAATACCTCTTCAGAAACCTGAAACAATTCCTGCGTGGAAAGCGATTTTACAGCCGTAAACGGTTATTTTGCAGAGCTTTCGGAAAGTCTTTATAGGGATGGCATAAAATTATTGGAGAATCATTGGAATAAGTGTATTTGAGTTGACGGAGTTTATATTGAATAAAAAAATATATTTCGTACCAAAAACCAGTATTTTTCATTTCGAGCGCCGAAACTTTTCAACCAACCTGTAATTGTATTAGCCTCATTAGTAAAATTTGTTCGCTAGCACAGCTTCAGAACAATTAAAATTTTTTATGTAGCGGTTATGAAAAAATTTATATAGCGCTTAAGTATTAAAATTAAATCATAACAATTTGATATAATATTTATTTTAAGATATCTTAAAAACATGAAATTCAGATTTGCGTTGAATTTAATACCCCTGTGTCACCCTGTATATGCTTACCAGAGCGCCAGTAAACAAACATTTGTGTAAATTTGAAATTGTTAAGCTGCTGCCACCATTTCCCTTTTATTAAAATTAGAATTTTAAAAGCACTATTTAAATGTAAATTAAATTCTTTTGTCTCTTATAAACAATTGAGAATTGCAATCAATTAGTTGCAGCGACAGCCAATCTTAATTCATCTTACACCACCCACACGGTTTGGCTTTTTTGTCATAAATCTTGTATAAAGTGACAAAGCGTAAGCGTATTTAGACGAAAATATGAAAGATATTGCTTGCAAAAATGTCGACAAATGCATACACATACACAATTACATACATATTTACACTATAGGTAAATTAATTTATATTATAGGTAAAGCATTTCGGCAATTTGTTGTAGAATTCGAGGAATTTTGAATATGAGAACTTTTATTTATTTCGAATTGTTGTTTAGTTCTTGTAAAAATAATCCATTTTTAACCAATGAATCGTGTCAAGTTAAATATCCGTCGTTTTGCTCAATAATTTTTTGCCATTTTGAAGAAAATTTCGTAATGCCACAACTCTCATAGAAACCCAACCAAGCTCCCGCAGCTTCGGGCGAGCCATTATCGATGTGTGTGATTTTGGGTTGTTCATATGGAACACAATTCCTTTCCTATGGACCAAAGCTGGCCACTTCTGGGCGCTTGTTCCTTCAGGAGGTCAAATTTTTTATAGTAAAGGAACAAACTATGAGTAAGAGGCAACTCATAGTAGATGAGTCCCTGCCTATCTCACTATCTCACGAAGCACACAGCAAACCTTCCCTGTCGTCAATCCAGAACCGGCCGGCGATTCATGGCGATTCGACAACGACCGTTTTCACTTGACGTTGTCATAAATGACACGAGTTTTATCACCAGTACCCATACGCTTCTAAAACAGATCGATTTTCCTGCGATACAGCAGAAATTACTTATACATGGAACTTCTATTGTATCCAGTCGTATTTAAATGGAACCAAAGACACCCCGAAAAGTTAACAGAGTGAAGCTTGTTGTTTAACGACCTACCTAAAGAACTCGACAGACTACGCTGAGGACGTTTTTCTTATCGTTAAAATAAAGTTTCTAACTACCGACTGCAAGCTTACTCAAGGGTACCTCGGCGTAATATCCAACTGGTACTGGTAAAACTGAAATAGTTTTATTTACCAGGAGGTATACAATTCCGGAAGTCCCTCTCACCTTATTCAGAGGCACACGCCTAAACCTATTGATTAGGTGAAATACCTAAGTATTATCCTTGATAGAAAGCTTCCATGGAGGCCAAATATTGAGAAGCGGGTAAAAATGGCATCGGTTGCCTTATACTGCTGTAGAGGAGCTATAGAGAAGAAGTGAGAATTCTCACAAAAGGTGGCTCTACGAAACCGTAGAGGAATGGAAATGAGCTGGATCCCGTTTTAATCTTACGTACTAGCATTGGATTTATGGACTTCGACTGTGCTTAGCAGGCGTTGGATGATTACCAGCCTCTGCGCGACTGCGAGCTGCAGATCTCCAGAACTACTGTACTTGCAAAGTTCATGTTTTTGCAATCATAGGAGCTCTTACAGGACATTTTTCGGTAGGCATTTATGATGTAAGACTAAAAATCCAGTAGGATGCAAACTGTTAAAGCAGTATCGTAGAAAGTTAGGTGGAAACAGTCGGGCACTTTCCCCTCCATTTTCCAGCTTTGCAAGACTGAGGTTGAAGCATCTCGGCAATCACTCCTTCGGGAAACCAGGAGATATAGCCATCATTAACATTCGCCGCCTCAAGTAATTTGTGATTGCCTCAAACAGCTTCGTTAATTTATGAGTGTCTTTCTAAGAAATTGTGTAGGAGTTCTAGGTACCACAACGGATAAGCTGTCCAAGTGAGATACCTGTTAGGATCGACCTTTTAACTTAATCTTACCTAGTTTGAGTGATATACCTATTCTACACAGATGCTATGGTATATTCTTATTGCAGACAAATATTCCAAAATATTTCATTGTCCGCTTCAGACTCAGCTTTTTACTTTGCGTTTTAATTATGAGATTTCTTTAGAAACACACGTAAAAACCAATAAACATAATTTGCACAATAGTCATTTCCGTTTTATTAATGAAACATTCCAACCAAAAACCATAGCTACGTGAAAACAACACATCGTTAAGAAAAAAACTTCTACTTAACAATAACTATTGAAATTAATGCCAATGACAAAGCACATGAGCAATCAACAGATATATGGTAACGCTCGTCATACACACCAACATAATAGGGAAACCGACCTTGCAGTAGTAGAGAAATGGAAAGTTATAGCCATGTTTCTCTGCCAAACCCGCGCATATAACATTTGCCGAGGTGCCGATTATCGTGCCCATGCAGCCCAAACCGGAGCCCAATATTACGGCCCAAATGAACGGTTGCAGCGGCAATTGTTCCTCTTCGATATCTTCTACGGCAACGGTGACAGCGCGTAACATTAACGAGGTCACCGAAGGACCGGTTAGAAAGGCTGCACAAAATGCTGACCACCATACGGCTATCAGAATGCCGACAACTAAACGCGCACTAGAACTGCTGTAACTAATAAGATTGCCCGTCACATTGCTAATCGTATCGAATAATCCCATCTGATTTGTAGCCTCAGAGAATACAATGACGCAGGCGAGAAAAAGCATTGTCGACCACTCAATACGACCGAGTATGCCATCGAAGTCTTCATTATCGGCCAATATCAGCAGTAGTATGCAGCCGAGCAATGCGGTCCAAGCTGTAGAAAGGAAATGCAAATTCGGTACGAGATGCAGTATGATGAGTAGGAACACGAAAAACAAGACGATGCAACATTTGCATAGAAGCGCCTTTTCAGTAATTTTAAATTCAATTTTAAGCGCCTTCACCATTTCTTTATAGTCCGGCGGTGGTGCTGGCATCTTACCAATACGTTTCAAGCGTCTACGCAAACGGCGCACCTTCGATAAGACTGTATCACGCATAGCCTGCTCATCTTTCGAATATGGGCTAATACTCTTCGCAGTGCGCGACCACACCTTAATCACGCGACGCAAACGTTCAATCTCAGCACCATCTTTATAGCGCATCGTATTCGAGTCGTGATAGAGTATACGCATATATAGGTATGCGCTTGCACCGGCTATCAATGTACCAGGTAAAACGTGTTCGATAAAGACGTAACCGTCGATGCCTTCGCGCCGTAAAACCTCATGAGCCAAAACATATTTACTCGGTGTCATACCATTTGGCGTTAAAGTGGCACCAACATTCGCATAGATAATCAGGCAGGAGAGTAATGGCAATGGATTGAGTTGCATTAGCTCGCAGACACGCATCGTAATTGGTGCAATCAATAACACCATCAGAATGTTATCAAGTAGCGATGACAACACTAAAGTGATCAGACACAAGCAGTTAAGTATTGGCCAGATATGACCATTCGAGATCTCGTAGATGCGTACGGTAATATAATCGATAATACCCGTCTCTGCCAATATGGCAATGATGAGCGTCAAGCCGAATAGTTCCAGTAGTATTTCAAAATCGATCCAATCGATGATGGTACGCAGCGAAGGTCGCAAGTTTAGTAGCGCCAACATGCTAATGGCGAGCGTACAAAAGACGATTATAGCGAGCGCCCGATGCACGATATCCAACATTAGCAGGAAATAGAAACCAACTACTAATAATAGCGCAACAACAACACCAACTTCCAAATTGATCGGCGACGGCTCGTAATAGAACTCCAGCGAAAGCGGTTGCGGTAGATTGGTGATCATGCTGATTTGTAACTTTTTGCTACCCTCCGCGGACATATATTGCAAGGCGAACAGTTTTTTGCGTTCCACAAGATGTATATCGTCTAAGTTCTTGGTGTCTGCCAAATGTAATACCCACGGTTTGGTGGCTTCATGTCGTTCATTATTGATAATTTGTAAAAGCTGTATAGTCAGTTTTTTTTCTTTGCCAGCCAATTTTTTCAACTGATCCTTCGAGAGCATTATAAATGGTCCGGTTGCGGTAATGAAAAATCCTTTCGACAATGATTCCTCTGGCACATTGAAAACTTTCTCCGAACCATTGTTAACGCATACGAAATTTGATTGGGGATGTTCATGTTCGGGTAGTACCAAAAGCAAACCCGTGAATATAAGCCAGATTATAAAGAGCACAACGATTTTGGCGACTTTCACAAAATGAGCGTTCTTTTGCTCCATCGCAGTTTGCAGTTCAACTAATTCATCTTCCTCTGCCGCTGAAGAGATTGACGTCGCACTGCGATCATCACCGAAATCTGCTGCTCCAGCGTACAAACGTCTATCGCGTTCTTTCCCGAAAGACACCGCTCTGCGACTGCTGGTTCGCTTTGGACGATTACGCATCGCAGCCGTTTGAGTTTTGCCACCAGCAGCTCCATCAAACGTGGTGCGAGTGCTAGCGGTGCGCCATTCAACGTACTCTGCATCGGATTCCAGCGAGTCATTTTCGTCCACGTCAAGACTCCACATCGACGGTTTTGACATATCGTGTCGTATTCTGTAAAATTCAAACAGAATCACTGAAGTTTTTTTTTTTTTTTGTATATAAAATTTTTTAATGATTTTGTAGAAAATTTTATTTTCTTGGTTGATTTTCCGTTGTAATTTTTTGTTCTCACTTTGACAATGAAAAAAAAAGTATATGCGATTAATTATTCAATGAACGCAATGGCACTCGAGATAAAGTACTTAGTCCACATTTAGCGTTGGCCGAAATAAAGCTCTATTGGACGGTATTGTTGACCCTGAGCTTTGCGTCAGACATGTAAGCTACTGCAGGGCACTGTAGAAACAAAGTTTATGCCATTTTGATAGCAATGGATAGAAAAAGAGAGAAAGAGCGAAAAAAGTGAGTATTCACTTGACGTCATATTTTATTATTATTGATCGTCTGAACTCAAGTCATTGTAAAGAAAACGCTTTTATTTGTCAAGGTATCTTCACGAAATTTGGAATGGACTAAAAATTCACAAAAATGCGTATTTCTGATTCCCAATGAGATATGACCTCTTAAGCTAATATGAAATACAACTATGCTTGCCAACATAATGTGCAACCCACTTGAGTGCATAGTATAAACCGAAACTAAATGCAGCTCACTTTAAAATATTCCACTAGAATACCAACGAAACACGCACGGTCGAGCAAAAGCCGAACTGCCGAACTTCGCCCAATTCTTTTTTCCTAGTATATAGTATATGTATGCACTAGGGTGAACCAAGAAAACTGATATATAATTTATGAGTTAAAATAATAACTCTAATGGCTCAAAATATTATAAATCTCTCTCTTTAACAAATTTATTTTAACACATAAATTCGATATAAATTTTTTTTGGCGCACCATAATACAAATAAAATGTTCCGTAGTAATTCCAGTAGCTCAAAAAATTCGAGCGATATTTTTGGAAAAAATCATTTTTAATCCATAAATTCGATATTAGTGTTTTCGGCTCACCCTAATATATATATATTTAAAAAAGTCAGGTAAAACCACCAGTAGCTCAAAAAATTCGAAAGATTTTTGTGGAAAATTCTTTTTAACTCATAAATGCAATATTTGGATTTTTCGACTCACCCTAATTTAGTGAAAATATCCAGTATTAACGCCAATGGTTCAAAAAATTCTAACGATATTTTTTGGAATAAATTAATTTTAACCCATAATTTCAATATTTTTTTTTTGGCTCACCCTAATATATTTAGAATACCCGTAATGCACTAATGTAGCTCAAAAAATTCTAACTACCTTTTTCGAACAAATTAATTTTTACCCATAAATTCGTTATATGTTTTTTTTTTTGGGTGCACCCTAATGTCTACGCATCCACTTCTTTTTTCATTTTTAATCTTTTATCATATTTATTTTCCTTTCATACTTCAAATTGCATTTTTACTTGATGCGCTTGTAATGGAGCTCTCTTCACCCAACACCTTAAAATAAACTTTGACACTTGTGCGCGCGAAAAAAACACTAAGCGCCAACACGTGTGAATTTTCGTTTCAGTTCACTTGGATCTACCCCAACCCGCCGCTAACCACCTTTCCTTGGTCACTGTGGCGAGCCAAACAGAAGCTGCAGCTGCCAACCCAAATGGGATATAACTTGAACACCTCAGCTTACACGTGCACTCACACACACACACACATACACGGGACCACTTGAATACACAAACAGCACTTCCGTGGATGCGTCAATTTGCATGCAATACGAAGGAAGGTAAATGTTTGCATTGGTGTATATGTGTGTGTGGGCGTGTGCCAAAACTCATCTCTTTCAGTCTCGCACATTTATCACACATTTTTGGTCGGTTTTTTTTCGACACCTCCGAATCTGATGTCCCTCTCATGTTACTCAGGCACTCTCAGTAAATAAAGTGCTAAGCGCTTCCCTTGAAGAGTGTTCCATTTACGTTTTTCGCGCACAAAAGAAGGAAGTGCTTGTGTATTTGCTTCGTACTTTATGCTAATATTTGGATATACACCTATAGAACCATAAAGCATCAGCGAACAGTTATTTTTATTCGCAAGAGAGATGGTAGTTCGAACTACGTTAGTTGTTAAAACTCTGTACCCAGTAAACTTGTGACAGGAAAATAGTTAGGAAATTTAACTATCCGTTGAAAAATTTTAATTGGTACCATTGAAAATAAGTCTTTTGTGATGCCAAAACTCTTAATGGATCTACGACACAATCAAAAATCTGCGAGGATGATGCTGTCGATTTTAGTGAGTATACCAAAATCGCTGAAGATGCGTAGCCCTAGTTACACAAAAGGGCAAAAGTCTAGAAGGAAATGTTGCGATAATTCAATCACTGCTATTTCCAAACAACTTCGGCATTTGAGAACCGGCAATATTTTTAGCCAAGAGCCGAGTATTATTCTCACAACAGCAGAAGGTGGTAGCAGCTCACTGTGTTGACAATTAACCAGACCAAGCTTTAGTGAAGTAAAATAGTAAGCCGCTCAAAAACAGCGACACTCTAACTTACCCCTAACCTGATGCTGTTAAGACAAGAGGGCTATTTCACAATAGCTTATTAGTCTTGATACAAGTCTATTTCTCATACAAGGCTATTTATGGATTACCTCGTTGCAATTGGTAATGAGGCAAGGCACTTTATACTTAATTTTGGGTGCACCGTCTTTGATACCAAAGCAGGCCGCACTTCCAAGCAATATCCACAACTGATCAAAGATCTCGCAAGAAAATTCTACAACCGTGTAGTATACACGGATAAACGATATCTGTCAAAGATTTAGCTGAATCGGTCTCGCAGTTTTGTTTCGAAACCGCAAACTTGAGTCCGCGGATTTTAAAAAGATGTAAAACGAGTAATATCGGACGTTAATTCGATAGTGTCGAAAGGGAAATTGCGTAGTGAATCTTTATGCTAAACTATGCTGTAAAGAGTAAATTTCTCTCATCCTTTTAAATATGTTATTTAAGGAGATACGAGGCTTGCATTGTACAATATATTTCGAGATTAGAAAACAAAAAAAAATATTAAGCAGCGAAAATCGCTTAATTGTTTCTCAACATATTCTCTATTCTCTCTATTAAGATCTATACACTTTTTCGTGCGTTTGCACCAATTTTCGAAGCACTTTTGCCACTCTGATTGATCATCGCCAAAAATTTATTAAAGTTCAACGATACACTGTTGCTGCGTTAATTCACCTCGAAAGTTGCAAAAAATAATAACGCAAAAATGTTCGCGATTTAATTCCATTTTTTGACCGAGATGAATATTTTAAGTTACTGTTAACAACCTAAATTAGCGGTCGTATGTCAATACGTTCTGCGTATGTATAACATCAAAAATGTTAAACTTTACGTTAAAGTTGTGAGCTGCCAGATTGCCAAAACATAAAAGGCAACCTACATACATACATATATATATATAATTCAAGAACTTCTTATAAATTTTTCATTATTCGTATATATTATAATAATTCCATTAATTGCTTAATCTGCATAAAATTATTCATATTTCAGCAAATTCTTTTTCTTTATTATTTTTTTTTTGTTTTTTGATTTTCTGCAAGCCATTAATGCATGCGCAGTTAAGTCTCAAGAATGCTCATTACTCAACGAAACCATTCATTATTTTGACAACAACTTGAAACGCAATAAAGAAGGCATATACCCGAAATATTTTGCTATAAATAAAGTAAAATAAAGTAAAAATGCCAGAAAATGCGCCGCAAAGAAAATAAATATTAAAGCTGATAGGAGGTAATTGTGCTCGATTGTATCTTATTTATTGAAAATTTGCTTTTTAGGTTAATCTGTCATGGTCGCGCATAAATTTGAGCTTACACCGATATAATCTGCCGCATACAAGCATGGAGATGGGGACAAATCGAAATGTGTATGTAGCTATGCGAACATTCATAATTTAATATTTATTTTATTTTTAGGCAACACATAGTGCTTTGAACTCTGCTAAACATAATTCAGGCATATATATCGGCATCAAGGACTTTTGTTGCCATAAGGAAAACAGCAACTAAGCAAACCAACGACCAAGCGCCGAAGCAGCAGTGTTGAGGCAGAAAGTGAATTTGAAAATATTGAAAATTTTAAAATTGCTGCGTCAATGCTCTGTCATGCAATTGCAAAAATTGCCAAAAAATCGCATAAATTCAAACATACATAAATAAAGCTATAATGCGAATTGCCATGTCGGCATGTTTGAATAGAAAGCGCACGGCTCAGTCGCGCAGCCACAAACTAGCAGGCCGCTGATAGCTTTGGAACAGCGAACTTATTAATAAGCAATCGCATTTGCAGCCGTTTTGCGTTGGATACTGCTGTTTACATATTCAAATACCCTAAACAGCATAAAATAAAATTAGTTTGTAACACCCAGAAGTTATATGTACGTATATAAATGAACGGCGTGACAAGATGAGTCGATTTAGCTATGACCATCTGTATATACGCACGTAAGTTTCTGAGATATCCATCTGAAATTTTTTACATGTCCTTCACTCTGCAAAAAGCTGCTTATTTTTCGGAAACACCAAAATCAGATCATTATAGCATGTAGCTGTCATACAAACTGAATGATCAAAATCAAGTGCTCTTATGGAAAACTTTTATTTGACAAAATACCTTTACGAAATTTGGCACAGAGTATTATTTTGGGCAAGGCTACAATCTTCAAGGAAATTGTTCAAATCGAACCAATAAAGCGTATAGCTGTCAAACAAACTGAACGATCAAAATCAAGTCGTTGTATGAAAAAAGTTTTATTTGTGAAGGGTGTTAGCGTTTCGTTGCGGCCGATGTTAAAACTTTTTCTTATATATATATTTTTTTTCATTTATTTTAATAAAAAAATTATATATTTTTAACATACAAGTATTCTACGAAACAAAATTAATACATATTGAAGCTCCCAACACTTTTTCGCCACTCACAGTGCAAATTAAGCTAAGCGCCAACAACATCAACAAAAAACAACAGGTATTCACACACTGTCTATAAATTTTGTACAAATCAAAAATTGTATAAATCGAAAAATTCTATTGATTGCAGCATTTCTTAAAATTTTATTAGGCTATTTGTCATTTATGTCAATTAAATTCTGCACTGATGCGTTAATTACGTGCTTTTGGAATTAATTGCTGTAATGATATCATCTAATATATGTACAGTTAACAATTTCTAAACAGCTCAACTGATGCATTAAATTAATTTCATTAGGTTACTCATACGCCATGTATTGCCTACATATCACTTATATGCGAGTATGCAAATGAAATGTAATAAAGTCTCGTTAAGATGCCAATTCAATTGTGATTTGTGCAGCAAGTTAACTTGCATTATATGCCCACACACACACATACGCACGCATTTGTGCATAAGCACAGCAATAATTTGTTTAACTAGGCTTAACTTGTTTGATAAAATAGTCTTGTTTATAAAAAAAATTGATGGAAAATTGAAGGTATGTTGTTGTACAACTGCAAAAATTTAAATGACTGGGATTCTTTGAAATAAAATCATAGATTGAAAATATATATTGTATCTATACATCTGTATATTTCACTTTGAAATGTAAGGATTATTTTCTCTTTGTACAATTACGATCGATTTGACTTTATTTAGTTGGACAAGAACACGTGTCAAAGTAGGTGGAGATATTTCGTCAAAAAAAAAAATTTGCAAACATTTGATTCCGATTGTTTAGTTTGTATAACAGCTATATGTCATAGAAGTTCGAACTGATCAATTTCTTCAGAGTTTGCAGCGATGCCCTAGGCAATATGCCAATTTTCGCGAAGATACCTCGTCAAATGAAGAAGCTTTTCATACAAGCATTTGATTCCGATCGTTCAGTTTGCATGGCAGCTATACGCTATAGTAGTTCCAACAGAACAAATTCTTCGAAGATTATACCGCTGTTCTACATAATAATCTACGCCAAGTTTTGCGAATTTGATCGGTCATTTTGTATGACAGCTATATGCTATAGTAGTCCGATCTGAATAATTTTTTCGTAGATACCGCTGTTTTAATACCTTGTCAAATTTCATGAAGATATCTCTTTTATATCTAGGGTTGATTACTTTGCTGAGAACCAAATAGATATTCATGAATAAATAAACACTTTCTTGAGTAATACAAAATTCTGTCCCGGTTTATATATCTCTTTATAACACATGGTTTATGTGTTTCTTAGCACTATTCATCATAACCGAGTTGCTTTTGTTTTTTTTTTAAATATGTTTACTTAAGAAAATGAAATTATGATAAATGTGTTGTACAATTTAAAACACTTGCGATCATTTCATACATACCTAAATACAAACGTACCTAAGTATCTTAAAATATTTTAGAAAACAAAAAATGTGCTTTCATTGAGTGCTCAAGTTAGCTGTGTTGCCAATTTTCCCCTCATGCCTATTTTCACTATGTTGTTATTGTTAGCTTGCAACATTTGTCTTCCACAAAAAAATTGTCGGTCACAGGCAGCTTAGGCTTTCGCCCAAGTATTTATTACTTTGCAAAGCAGAAAACAATAATTCGCATGTCTTTCTGTCAAACAGTTAGCCAGTCAGTGACCGCTTGCTTTTCGAGATCAAAACAATAAATACTAAATACGAGCGGGTATGTTCAATCAAAACAAACAAATCACTTACGTAAAATGACTAAGTAAAGACACATATGTATATACTCGTACGTATACTTACATACTTTAATGTATTATAGTATGGAAAAAATTGTCTCTTGGTTTGAACTACGGTTAGTGGTCTTGATGAAAGTGTGGCAAATGTGGCATGTTTCTAAAAATGTTGTCGTTGTTTTTCATTTTTATTTAGCTTTCTAAAAATGCATGGAGCTTGTTTTTTTTTTTTTGCTTACATCCCTAGTATTCATGAAACCAGCTCTTTGCACACGCTCATTATCATGCAGCTATCGTGTTCCACGCAGTGAGTTATTTTTGGCGTTTTCTGCGTTGACACCGCTGCGAGGCGAAAAGACAGCTGCAACAGTGTAAAAATCAAGTCATCTGTCATTTACTCAGGAGAATTTTTTAAGTTCATTACATATGATATATTGTTTAAAATTTATTTGGAAAAAAATGTGTGGCATAGTGCTTTTTATAAGGCTCACATATGTCTAGTGACTTTTATGTCACGGGTGATATTGAGCTAAAATGGATAGAGGACTTGAGACTCTTTAATATTTTATTAAGAAATTATTTGTAAAGTTTCGAGCTATAGTGATAGTGATGCTCGTGGGAATGCAGTTTCATCTAACGGGAGTATCAATCACACGTTTACATATCCCATTAAAAAGCTATATGCCCCACTTTCTGATACGACTCCTACGAACAGTTTAGGCACCGTGTTTTGACGATATACACTTCGAAGATTGAAACTTCCAATGAAGGCAAGTGCAAGTCCTGCAATGCCTAGACAATGTTTAACCAATCTCCAACCGAAAATTATGTTGTACGTATTCTATTACCCGAATATGGAGCTTGTAATATACTTACGAGAATACTTTGAACAGTTGAGCACAAAACTCTCACTGAATCTGTTATGAGTTAATGCTGCCTTCGATATGCTAAGCATTAGAAAGTAGCGAATCGAACGTATAAGTATTTAAACAGATGCACGTATGATGTAATCTTGCGCTAACACGTCCGATAACTCTGACTCATACACAAATATGTTGCACTTCTCTCTTTAGTAGACAAATACATCTACGTATAAATTTTTTCACTGGAGTTCAGTGACTCAGTCTTTAAAATGGTGTGCTTAGATGTTTCAAGAGTAGAGTCGGCTCTTGATAAGTTTAGGTTAGGTTTCGTGGTTGATTCCCGCGACAGAGATCACAAGAGTACTATAAGTCTGTTGATGCAACTCAATAAATCTGCTCGGTTCACTGAGAGTATGACACTTAAGATGTTTGAACCTCAGTGTGGAGAAGTTCGACAGACGCGAAAAAAGTGCCAAAATTTTGCACCTTCTTTCTGGCAACTTTAAATTCTAAGTTAGGAGTTATGTTATTGGAGTTTCCGAAGAATATCATCTTAAGTTTTATTTCAACTTTTTGGATATCTCTGCGCTTCGTAATGCCTACAAAAGAACAAAATTCTTCCGGTTCGTTAACCAATCTGAGACCCACTTAAGTCATGTAGCTGTTTCTGAATTATAAAATATATTGCTTTTTTCATATATTAAACTTCAGTGGCTTTCCAAAATTTGACTTTTAAATGTTTTATTAATGCTTATGTCTCGACGTGTCGGTTGTTGACCCAGTTTCCGACGGCCTGTGGACATTTGCATGTATATTTTTAAAAAACTGCTTCATAAGCTCTTCATATAAGTACATATGTATATATGTATATTAGGGTGGCTAAAAAAAAATTATGTTTATTTCGCTTGGTACTCTAGAAATAGGTTCTTAGATACCTTTACCAAAGCCTCACCAAGTATGAGCTCTTAATTATAATCGAAAGTTCCTTCGCATTACAGTTTTTTATATTTTTCTTATTATTAGATAGAAAAAATCAAATCTCGCTTTCAATTACTGGAAAAAATCTGAAATTATCGATATTTTTATTAAATTTCAGGTAGATTTACACATGTTTCAAGAATTTGAAACACAAAATTTAATTTTTTTGTCATACAAAATTTCTGACGGCGCTAGAATAAGGTCATCCACTGCTGCAGTGATTCCGGCCTTCCCGGTGGATGAAACCTAAAACAAAATTCTCTTTAAACTAGATATTCTCCGAAGAATAACCCATAATCAACAACAAAAAAATCAAAAACTGACAAAATGTCGGCGTTTTCAAAAAAATGTTGAATTTTACCCCAAATTTTGTTAGTTTTTGGCCTGCCGCGGCTAACTTTTAAATGACTGTAACTCGAAAACTTTTTGAGTTATCGATTTGGAATTTTGTGTTATTTTTAAAGGTAAAAGCTATCGAAATATGAAAAAAACTTTCTTAGAGATGTGTAAGAACCAATTTTTCAGAGTACCAAGCGAAAAAAAATCGTTTTTGTTTTTGATCCACCCTAATACATATGTATATATATATATGCTGAAAATTACAACGCGTTTTCTGTAAATGCAATCTGTTAACACATTTGCGTAGCTGTCAACTTGAATAATTCCATTGTGACAATTCATTTTAAATAATTGAAATGAGGTAAATGAGCTTTTTAAGCGTGTACTCGTGCATAAATATTTTTACAATTTTGTACATTTTATTTAAATTTTTTTTTTTTGCATATTGCTTTCTTATGTTCCATATTTTAATTTCTACTATTAATCCAATATATTATGGAAAATTTTAAGGAAGACGACTTTATGAAAATTTCTTTTAATCTGGCATATATTTTTATAGATTTGTTAATTATGGAATTTTTGTGGGCTAAAAGGCAGTATTGAAATTTACCAAATTTAAAGTATTTTATACAATTAAGCGCTCGTAAATTGTTTTTAGATTGCTTTGCGTTTTAAGTTTTCAAATTCATATACATATACCAAATATAATTTTTTTATAATATATTGTACAATTTTGTTTCTATCCTGAATTTTTAATTGAAGCTTTCAACATCAATTTGCATAACTATTTGTGGTTTATTGGCTTACACAACTTATATAAATGCTTAAGAATTTTATGAAACGAAAAATTTCAAAAGCATACATATCTACGCTCACAACATTTTGCATAGAAAACACATTAGACTAATAATTACAAGGTGTGACATTCAGTTTATTTGTATGCAACCAAAATAACTTCGAAATAAAAAACATCTCAAATGTTTTATACGAGTTTATTTGTACCCTCAAAACGTTATGCTAAGTTTGCCACGATGTTTGTAATATCCAAAAGAAAACTTCGAAGAGCCTATAAAGTAAGTATATAGTATATTAATGATCAGTTTGACGTGCTGAGTCGTTTAAGTCATGTGTGTCCGTCCGTCTGTATATACGCATATCAATCGCACAGCTTTTGAGATATCGACCTGAAATTTTGCACACGTTCTTTCCAACCCAAGAAGCTGCTCATTTGTCAGAAATGCTGATATCGCACTACTATAGCATATAGCTGCCATACAAACTGATCGATCAACCTCAAGTCCTTGTATGGAAAACTTTTTTATTTGACAAGATAAAGGCATCGTTACAACCTCTTAAGAAATTGTTCAGATCGAACGACTATAGCATATAGCTGTCTATTTGACAAGGTATCTTCATTAAACTTGTCATAGATTATTATCCAAAGCGAATATATTTTTAAATCCTTTAATTCTATAAAAAAAAGTAGTTGTTCAGGGTTTTATAGCTTTGGTGCAATGGATGTTAACCTTTTTCTTGTTAACCTCTTTGTAACCCGAAGACAGACGGTGTCAATTTTGGAAATCTGAAGTAAATAAAAAATTTTTTTTTCCTAAATACAGCAATATTGCACAACATCATTTTTTCAGCATGTTGTTTCAGTGGAAAGCGATTCATGGTTCGAGTTATATGAAGTAGAGTATTCCAAAGCATATCTAATCTACGCAACCGGTTAGTAAATGTGCCAGTTATTCAATGTTTTCTTACCGTCATAAATGATGGTGCTCCCTGTACTTTTGTATATGTGTGTTCCATAGTATTTATGCAGTTTTATCAGGTATTATTTCTGCCACAATTTTTTATAATATATGCATATAAAAATATATAAGAACGTACAGACATAAACATGCATATACATAGACATAGATACCCAGCTTCTTCTAGCCAGAGTAGACAAAAGAAAATATGCCTTCAAAACCACATGAGTTATGCAAAGTAATATTTTGCCACAGTAAATTCGATAGTGTTGTTATAGCTTGCAACTTTGTTGCTGCAATGTTTTGTTGTTTGGTAAGCGTTGAACGTTTACTACTGCCACTTTGTCAAAATGGTCAATTCATAAACTTTTTCGAAAAATTTATTCATAAATTTACAAGAAGACCAAAAATAGATTCTTATTAAAATAAAACATAGTACACTGCGAAAATGGCGGTAATTGCATACATGCTTGAAAAAAGTAGTTCACGTGAGCCATAGAGTACTCCAAATAAATTTAGAAAACTGGACAAATACCAATAACGATTTGTGATCTCTTCAACCTTCGATGGCAACCATCGCAAATTGGTTTGACGATTTTCAACATGGTCGCATGTCGGTTTTTGATGTGATGAGCTACACCTAGGTGCCATAAAAGAGCTACTAGGGTGGATAGCCTTACAAAGGTCCACGTTCTTCCACATGTGAACATATCCCACAAGAAATATTAAGACTAATAAAACTCTCGGCACGATGGATTACTCGCTTACTCTCTCCAAACAACAAGCAAAACCACTGGTACGACCACTTTGAAATGGTGTTTGATGCTGTTTATGTGCAATCCGAAGTAGTATCTGCTTTGGTTTGTGATCGCTGATGAAACATGAACCCATTGCTACACATCACAGACCAAGAAACAATCGAAACCGGGGACTTTACCCGACGAATCTGCTCAGAAAAGGGCGCAGACCAAATCTACTACCTGGAGAAGGGCGAAATGGTCTGGTATGTCGAAATATTCGGCCGACTCGACATCAAATTGCACAAAAAGGACCATTGACAACAGTGCACTTGCATCATTCCAACGTCGGCCGAAAGTTGAGGTCCTTAAAATATTTTTGACGGGAACACTATTATCATGCTTAAATAAAATATTATTTTAACTAATATCAGAGAGATTGCTTTTTTTTAAATATTTATTATATTGTCTTTTAGAGTTTCTACTAATATCTGTCTGCCTCTAATCGAAAGCATCAAGAACCACTGCGGTGATTACAATAAATACAGTTAACACTAGCTCGCACTTGTAACTTATTATACGAACATTAATAAGCTGTAATATTTTCTACAGCGACTAAGTCCCTAAAATTTATACGAAGTATAAACATCCAAAAAGCTTTCTTAAATGTAGTCAAGTGCGAAAAGGGTAAATGCTAGGCATGCACATAAGCCTTAGAAAACGCCTAATAACAATATAATATACCATATAAGCATATTTTGAGGGAAAAATTCCATTCAAAAGAATTTTACTAGACCAAAAGCATAGTTAAAATTTCACATTATTACTCTCTCATAGTATCTTCATATTTCACACAGCTCATGACCTTTATCCACATGTGGTAATTTGCGCACATTTCTAAAGGATTTACCCAAAAGTGTTGGAATTCACCAGTACAATGCACAACACAAATAAACTCGTTAACAAACAAATTTGAGCTGCGGGTGGCTGAGCGTAAATGGCTCTTATGCAAGTAAAGGGGTTTATTTTACAGTTTTGGGGGACTATTTATTTGGTTACCATATTTAGTATAAAATTTAAAATGTGTGCATTAATACGTTGTTGGATTGTATGTGTGTAGAAACCACTATTTACAGCTAACAAGATATATTTTTTTTTGTTTTGTTACAAAATCTTTGACCGTTTTGTAGCAGAACTGAGGACTCTTCGAACTGCTGGTGAGCTCAGTGAACTTCATTATAGAATCAAACGCAATCATAATTGGTTGAGCCCACAAACATAGTAAGGCTTTACTGAGTCACTATTATATTAAGATATAACTGTGAAGTGCATTCATATAGTTGGTACTTAATATATAATATGTGCGCATAGATGATACGTCTCTTCGCGTATGGAATCTTTTCTGTTTTGAAAATTTCGAATCAAATATTTGTTGATAATTAATGTAGTCGAGAAATATAGTTTGAAAGTTATAAGCCTCTTTTTTTATTTTATTTTAGTTTCACAGCATTGATAGGTGTATAACAAGTTGACTTAACCCTTATCAAAAGGACTTGTGTCTCTCTCTCATGCCGCAGATCTACCAAGGTAAGCAATATATACGAAGTGGGCAGTCCTGATACAATTGATTAATTTTCGGATAGTTTTGGGTAGGTTTTTTCTTAAAGTACACAATATTTGGTATTATTAAAGTACTTTCCACTATTTAGTATACGAAACATGTTTACCATTAAACTGTTCTACCATAAGGTTCACGAATACCTAGTGCTTTCACAAATAAAATGATTCCTCACGGAATTATGACGATTGGTTATAACACCTATAACCAATCTAGACAGATATATACTTTATATACATATATTAAACTTATTCGAATAATAACCTTATTTTATTTTCGGATATCTATCTGCTCATCCATCCATCTGTTCCTACAAAAGATATATTTATTATACTTGGTCCATATTCTTTGGCACTCACTGAATTTTTAGCCCTCCTCAGCCTAACAAAAACAACATGATAAAACAATATCTATGCAGGAAGTTTATTAATAGCAACTGCACTTAAAATCTCATTTCAAATTTTGTAAGCAAATGATGTGCTAATTTATTTAAATGTTCAACCGTCAAGCGCTAAATAAACAAATCACAAAGAGAGATTTTGAATATTCCGTCCAACGCCAGATTTATTTTCGGACATGCATTGGAATGTAACAATCCAACAGTGAGTTTTACGAGTATGTGTTTCTTTTGATTTAAAAACCACTGTGTTTTGTAAATATTTCGAGCATATAATTGCGATCAGCGGGACATCAGATTAATTTACGAAATATTCTTTTAACTTAGCTGTCTATTAGACCGAACAATTATTTCATAACACTTTTTCTATATTCGAAATTAAATTTGAAAACAAGACAAGTGTTGTGAGTTCAAATAGCGGTGCTTCAAACATACATATACGCAAAACTTGTCGGCATACAGAGCTAGATTTGTTAATATCGCTATAAGGGTACAAGAGCATCTTAAGATTACTAAATATATGCGATACAAATTAAGGAAGTTTTCCGAAAGCCTTATTTACTGACGGTAATACCACAAAGAAAAAGATAATCAATACTTCATCTATTTAGAATAACTTTGAATGATTTTTTTGAAATCCTTATTTAAAAGAGAATTTCTCCCAATGTTTTTAAACTTCTCGGCATTCTAAAACTACTTAATGAAAGAGTAATTTTTATATACAAAACTTGCCCGAAATGTTCTTTAAAATTTTTAAGCACAGTCACACGAAGATCTATGATTTTGTCCTTACTCTGTATCTAACAAACCTTTTATTAGCTAAGACACGCACCTTTTTCTACGTCATTTTAAATTGGAACATTGCGAAGCTGAGACACATACCTCCTGCCTTGTCATATTTTATAATGTATGTTTTTTAAGAAAAAAAAAAACTCGCTCGCTGTGAATGTTTGAGCTTGCGGGACTATAACGCTTTCAGCTTTCAAAATAACGCTTTATAAAAATTTTTCCGTAAGGCTTATTCAGTTATATAACCGTGAGTATATTTTCGAAGACTTTCCAGCTATATCAGCGACTCACAAAGAAATCATTGTATATATTTTATAAATCTGACATTACAAATATAACTTCCTTTATTTGTTATTGTATTGGCAGCTGGTTTAAAAAAAACCCAACCCGAAGATGAATACTGAAAATTAAAAAAAATTATACAAAGGGGCTTTATTTGAGATGGTTTGATATTAGTAACCTGTATCAATGTTAACATGAACTTTTTCCGAAGCATTAAATAGTAGCTCACCCTTATTAAAATAGTATATTGAGATCACAAAAACAAGGTAAAAACAAAAATACAATTTGCTTTAGTTTCCGGTTAACACATGCTTGGTCCATACTTTTTCGAAAGAACTGATTTATTTGAAAGAAAATCAATCGATGTAATATAGAACAAGCCGACTTGACCTGCAGGTAAGATCAACTTTTTCTATTTTCGTAATGAATTGCCTTATTCCGACACCCTTTACATCCAGAAACAGATAATGATCGTGAATATTGAAATATGTGCTGTGTAGCAAGCATCTTCAAAATAAATATGCATGAACAGTGCATGCATAAGCAAAAGATCTCGCTAATGGAATCTATGCCGACGTGAGCGGAGACACTTTTTACTTTTTTGCGTAATTTCGAAACTGCCACAAACATACAAACACTAAGAAAAATATTAAATACCATACACAAGCCCACATTCTTTACACACAAAGAAACAAGCAAATGAAATGGAGAAAATACATTTTCAAAATATTTAAATAACAAAAATAACACAGTGGTAAGCATATAATAAATTGTTGCAAGCGAGTGCCGATCTTGTACGCCTAGGGTCGAAAAGTGTATGCGACAATAACGACAACAAAGCGAAAATGAACTGAGCTGCCGAATCCAGCCATAGCGGGCGCTATTGACAAGCGCGAAGCGAATTCGTGTAGGCCGATACCGTCCGTCTAATGACGTCTATGCTTTCGCTACCACACCGACGCAACCCGCCGCCTGTACCAGCAACAAAAAAAATAACAAAGTTTACCGCATATGTTGGCGCTGCAACCAACGCACGACCGCTAGCCGCTATGCCCTGGCAGTTGGACGACGCGACTCATAACGTGATAATCGGGCGGCCGGCCGAACCGCTAAAAACCGACACATTCGGAAATTACTTTGTAGAAAGTTATTTTATTCAAAACATTTTTTAAGTAGGTGCAATATTATTTTGCTGAATGGTGAAATATTATTTTCTATTCGAGCATACTCAATATTAGCCACGCAAAAAGTTAAACTAAATTATATGCTAACTAAATGAAAAACGTTCCAAAATACGGACAAATGCATTTGTGGACTGAAAAAAGTCTAAAATATTTGTGTTTGAAATATGAGAATCCTCACAGATTACTGTTGAAATTTCGAAAGAAATAAAATGAGTTCAAAACTAAAAAATATATATATATTTATATATATGTGATATTGATTTCATTTAAATATAAATTTCAATTCGACAACAATTTAAAAATTTAATTAAAAGTTTAGCTAAATAAAAATTATGTTTATTATTTACCAATTTTACCCGAAACTATTTTATAAAATTATTTGCTTTAAATATACATATGTATATTGTCAAAGCCTTTTTAATAACACAAGCATAAAATTTTGTAATAAAAATTTTAATTAATTTAAAATAATTTTAGTTAGTATTTCAATGAATAATGAATAACTAATATTTTAATTTAAATAGTTACAATTTGTTTTTTCGATGAAATATTTGTAGCTAATATCTCAAAATTTAATATTTATTATTAATAATTTTATAAATAATTTGAAAATTTAATAATTAATATTTAAGTTAAAATAAATTTAATTTTTTTTTATTTTCTATTAAATAATTTTTGTTAATATTTTAAAATGAAAACTCATTAAATATAATTTTAAAAATTATTTAAGAAAAAATTATTAATATTTTAATTGAAATAAATTAAATTTTTTTTGTCAGTCTGTGAAATAAGTTAATATCTCAAAATAATTTACTTGATAGTTAATATTTTAATTAAAATAAATTATTATTTTTTTTTATTTTCTCTGAAATATTTTTGGTTAATATCTCAAAATTTAATATTCATTATTTACAACTTATAATGCTAAAAAAATATTTTTTCTTTCATGAAATAATTCTAGTTAGTATCTTGAAATTTAATATTCATTATTAATAATTTTATAAATAATTTAAAAATAAAATAATTCGAATTTTAATTAAATTTATTAAATTTTTTTATTTTTCTATGAAATAATTTTTGTTATTATCTCCAAATTTAATATTCACTAAAAATAATTTTATAAAAAATTTTAAAATTAATTAATAAATATTTTAATTTAAAAAAATTATTGAAAAATAATTTTAGTTAATATATCAAAATTTAATATTCATTATTCATAATTTTAGAAATAATTTAAAAGTTAAACAATCAATATTTTAATGAAAATATTTTTTTCCCTATTTTTCTACAATAACAAAAATTAAATCAATCCCTTTGAGACATAAATTATAATAAAATATTTTCTAATTAACTTCATTATAAAATCTATATTCACAAATAAACTTCAAATTTATAAATTATTGTTCATAGAATATTTTATATATAATAATAATTATAAAAAATTATTATGAATTATATAAATGAATTATTATAAATTGTATGATAAAATAAATAAATCAAATTTTTTTTAAATCAAAAAAGAAATAATCGTAAAAAATTAAAACTTAAATCTAAAATTACGTTACACTTATTTAATAAAATTATTTCTTCGTTAAAAATTAAAGGACTTTATCGAGGTGATAATTATTGCTGTTTTCGAAGTGATACTTATATAAGCGTTTAACTGGCGGAAACAAGCAAAATGCAAGTTTTCGATAATACTATGGTGAGTTGTTTCATACAATTTCATTTCGATTCGTTTTGTTTTTTTCTTCAGTTTCTAAAGCAATTTTCTTAATATATTGTATATGAATATTTTAAATTATTTTTTTCAAAACTTTTTTTTTTAAATAAACATTTATATATCATTCAAAAACTTTGTGGATTATTTTGACGAAATCTTGATTTCCTTGATACGACTTGCTTACAGCGGGACGTTCCCACACATGTCGAGTCTACGTAGAAGGAACGGCCCGAGTTTTTATCCGTTCAAGGAGCAGCTCGGCAGCATTCAAATTACTTTAGGGTTGTTTTCTGCCGCTACGACAACAAGTGGGGTTGCCATAATCCCACAATGGGTGTCAGTAATAATTTTATACAACCTACTGTTATTCACTCAGCTATATTTTGACAACAGCTATTGTTTTTACTTTCTGTTCAGTACGAAACTATTTTAAGAGTGTATTTCGTGATACATTGGGCAGGTTTAGACTTAGATAATATGTCAAGCGTGTAACAGTAATGTAAACAAAATGTACAAGAGATGCTCCATTGTTTACCTGGTGCCTTGCTCTTGACATTTCCTGCAGTCGTCACGACCTGTAAGCCCCATTCTGCATTCGCGTGCCGCCACAAGTCTACGTTTAGTGAGTATTTCAATCATGTTCCTACAGTCTCTTCTATCTATCGGATAACAGCCGTACATCACTCGTGGCATTATCGTCCACTAGCTCACTGCCATCGATGCCTTTGGCACCTGGCACCCAGTAGAATTGAAGGCATTTGTTCCTAGCGACACTTTCTACTACTGCCCTGCCTTCCAAGACACTTCTGGACACATTGCCTTGATTGCTGCTTAGCAATCATCATAGATGTTAACTCTGAAGTTGTCTTCTGACGCATTAGAGGTTAGCTCGGCCGTTTTCCCAATAACAAAAACATCCGCTTGAAATATAACTCAGGGATCTAGCAGCCGAAAAAGCTGCCAAAACGAAGTTACCCTTTCAGCTATGCCCGAAGATTCTATATGCAAATTCTTAAGCCACCGGTAGCCGTCTTGTCGATTTTGTCACGCAGTTATTCGCGAAGAGGTCTATAGGTGGCAGGTTTAGTATTTATTCAAGAGCCACAGCTGGGTTGGTTCTTCAAGCTTCCGTGATACACAGCGCAACGAGTCGCGGTACCCTTTCTATTGGCTTCCGGTAGGGAGATTTCCGTATGCCTGTGCACCACACCATATCAACGTAGAGCAGAATTGTTCTCGACGTTTACTCTTCTCAATGATGCGCTGTCTTAGCGTGACTCATACTATTAGTTAATAGTTTCAGCAACTGAAACTTATTCTACATCTAATATTAAAAAAAAAAAAAGCTGACATTCGCTGCCAAGCTAGATTTTCCCAATTAAATTTTCCAAACTTCTCTCTATGGAGTTGTTGATAGAACAAAATGTAAATCTCAGATCATTGGTGAACGTAAGCTAACACTATCGCCGATATCATCACTATACCACTCGAAATCCACGAACTGGTACGAGGTAGCCGATACCTTCAAGATGCAAATGGAACGTGTTCTCCTCTTTTGGCACAGTGCAAATTTTTTCGGTTCTCAGACCTATAGAGAATGCTCGCTGATAAGAAATTTATAGGTAATCGCCGGAACTGGGCCTTTATTGAAACAAGAGACAAGTCGCTCAATTTTTCCCAAAATTATCAATGTCTCTAAAGCCATTCGAACTGTTCAGTCAATCTTCTAACTTTAACATCCTCTACCAATACCATCTCCACATCCACCCTTATATGCAAAGTTTACGCTTTTTGAATTCGTCTCTATCTTTCGCCTTGACATATTAACCAAAAATAGCATAATTCATTAAAGCTAAACTAAATTTTGTGAGTGGTGCAGTTTCCTTAACCCAATTTAATTGGATACATGCAATACACAATCGTCGGAAATCAGATGAAAAATAACTTTCGATGACTATAAAGACTTTTTAGATCAAAAGAAGAATGTTGCACAAAATTATAGCAAATGGGTTATAATAATAGAATAAAATTTTGGTGTAAATAATTACAAAATATTTTAAGTGGACGCATTTTTCCAGTAGTATTATTAAATTTTGGGCCACTTTAAATAGATTAAACGTTTAAAAAAAACGCTTTGTTCCACCGATTTAATTATGCATTAAATGCCAGCACAAAGTTATAGCTTTAAAATAATAATTAATATTTATGCCTGCTCACATTTATGAGCGTAATTATTATCAGTCATATACCCGTTATATACCCGTAATATATGCGCATAGATGTGTTGCTTTTGAAGATCCGTTTTGGCTGTAAATGTGTGGTCCATAAACCGGCCGGCCGGCACTAAGCACTTTTACATAGTTTTGTTTGGTCTGTGCTAGACGCCATAGTACAGTTAATTGTGCGAAAGTGAAAAACTATATTGCAAAAACCAAAAAAACAAAAAAGGAAAGAGAAATATAATGACTTGCAAGCGCTGCACTTAATGGCCGACAGCCAAGTGGGTCACTTATGTTCCGAGGTGGCAAATGATTGCAAGTGCACAGCTTTCATGAAATACATATAAACATGCATGCATTAGTATAAATAAATATATATATATACACATATACATATTAAGTTAAGTAAGTATATACACAGCTGCCAGATAATTTACTTCGCTTCTGCCGTAATCAACTGGCCATTTCCGCTGGGTTGCCATTAAAATCAACTATTTATTTATGTTATGTGATTCACTTGAGCCGCTTTTATAGGAAATTATAGACATATACATATACGTTCCAAATGCATGCGTGATGCCATAAAAATCACCGTAAATCTAAAGTCTTACAGAAGATTTGTTGTATTGATTGCATACCATGCGCGGCTTCCGTTCATCAAAACCGTTGACGTGTAGTCATGTGAAGTGATTTAAAACGCACTAAAGTTCAAATATTATATAAAAAATTTAAAAAGGCTTCTTTAGTAATTTTATCAACTGAAATGTTTGAAATTATTTTAGTTCAATAATGCAATAATAGACAGCGAAAATTATATGTAAATAAAAACGATTATTCATTAATTGAAGCAAAATTTAGAGTTAATTATAGAATGTTTTAAAGCAATTAGACAAGTCATTAAGCAAATTATTATGCCTGAACTCACATTTTCCTCAATATCTATCTACCCGATCTTTGCAAAGTAACCGCTAATACGGTTAGATTCATTCAGTTTGTCTCTATGTAATTTCAACAAAGACTGCTCAACTTTCTTAGAGATCATAGCAAATAAAAATCAACATCCTCTAATTCAGGCACGAAAACAATCATTAATCATGCCTCTGTAACGTTCCTCATTGCTCTCATTTATTGTAATGTTATGGCCAGCTTCATTTTTGAAGAAATATGGACCAATGATTATAATCGAAATAAATACGACAATTTGGTTTATTAACGCTGAACAAAATTTTCTTGTGAAAATCGGTATCGATGGCCCTCTCGTTTTGGGCTCATTGACCGAACTTGCGTCGCGCTTGATGCTCGTTTGCCTTCAATTCTTATACGAGTTGGATTTTGTGAGCCTGCAAATTAAAACCACAGCTGTCATTGTTGCGCGCGATGGCGGATGGATTCATTCGGGTCTTCTTCGATACTCTGCTCTACAGCAGCAATAGCGTCTAGGGTGTGCAATAATGGGCGTCTCGGAGGATCGCATTATCTACTACAGTAAACGCCTAATCAGACTTTTAATGGGTATACTTGTAGGTCGCTTTGTCGACGCTTAAAATTGAATTAGTGGAGTTTTTTTTCTAGCTTCACAAAGCACTAATCATAATTAGTCCAAGTGCGATGCTGTTTTGTGATTAGCGATCTAACCTAAACTTACATACCCAAATTAAATTTTATTTTTTGTTTTAAATTTCTTTAAAATAAAACAAATTAATATCGAACAGCTGGACAAGCCAAAATTTCCATCATCTCCGTAATCTTTCACTTGTTGGCAGCCAAACAAGTTTTTATTGTATTTTTTTACTTTTATTTTTATGTTATTTTTTTATTTATTTTTTTTATTAATTTTTTTTAATCAATGTTTTTTTTTAATATTTTTGTTTTTTATTTCCTTTTTTGCTTATTTTGGTTGTTGTCTTTTTTCCCCTTCTGCTTGGTATTTTTCACATTTCTTGTTTAACTTTAATATTATTTGTTTCAAGTGTCATAATTTTTCTTATTAATTGATGAATAACATGGTACCTTCTAGAATGTTTGAAATGTTCGAAAATTTTGTTCGATCTGCTGCGTGCAACGGAAAATTAAACTCAAATGTTGATACAACGGAAAATATCAAAACATTTTGAATTATTTTAGAAACACATAAAGCAATCACATAATTCCATACAAAAAAAATATTATTTAGACAGTAATATGTATATGTGAATGTGTTTGTGGAAAATTAATGGTGCGTCGGAAAAAGCAGAGCACAAATGAAAAAAAAAGGAAAAAGACAAAGCAACAGCTAATGAGCAATTTGAGCTAATGAATAAATGTAAATTTAGCAAAATTTAGAAAAATGTCAGGATTACTTGGCTGGCGAGCGTTATGAAATCAAAGATTTTGGAAATATTTCAAAATTATGTTAATTTCGTATGTATGCTGGCTGCATACAATAACTACATACATACGTATATGTATTGGTATAATATTGCGCGATCAGCATTTGTATATATTTATTTGCAACAACTGCAAAGGCCATCGATCAGTCGCATTTGGGAGCACATTGCCACTGCCAGCGAACTTGACTAATGTGAAAGTACAAACTAGCATATATTTAGCTTAAATTTGTATATTTATATGTCGGTGGGCCTGTAGTGTGTGCCCTAAATGTATCTTCGCACACATTGAACGCATGTAACCAATAATTTGTTTATTTGCAACCAGTTCAATTGAATTATACGATGGATGTGAGACAAATTTATGTAATATCGCTGAAAAGTTCAAGAATGTTTA